CCACCCACTCCGCCCCCTTCCTCTCCCCCACCCTCAATACCCAGCAGAAACTATTGGTTTTTTTTTTTTAATCTTGTTTAAATCACCCAAAGGAGAACAAAGAATGCCAAACAAAAGACAGATTTTTAAAATATGTCCAGCATTTCCTCCTTCTGGAAAGACATGCTAGGGGATAAGCAGAGGTCCCCTGGGCCAGGTTTCTGAAGACAGAGGAAGAAGGGCAGTGGCCAATATATAGCAGGTCCATCATCCTGAACCCAGCAGTCCAAAATCCAGAGAGCTGCAGAATCCCAAAAATTCTGAGCACCAAGCTGATGTCACAGTAGGAAAATCCCACACCATGCATCTTTGCCTCATGCATAATATTGTAAAAAATAGTGTATAAAACCACCTTTAGGCTACGAGTGTAAGGTGCACATGAAGCATAAATAAATTGCATGTTTAGACGTGGGTCCCTTCCTCAAGATATGCAAGCACTGCACAATCAGAAAAAAAAAAATCTAAAATCCAAAATGCTTTGCTCCCAAGCATTTGAAATAAGGGATGCTCAGCCCGGATGCACAGTCTCCGTTATGGGATTCAGAGGTCCTTGTGTGGATGTTGGCTTCCTTTAAGTATTGTTTTTGGTTTGTTTGGTGTTTTTTGGGAGGGGAGTTGGTAGGACTGGAGTTTGAACTCAGGACTTCCTGCTTGCAAAGCAGGTGCTCTACTGGTTGAGCCACACTTTCAAGTAATGTTTTGTTTTGTTTTATTCTTGGTGGTACTGGGATTTGAACTCAGAGCCTTGCATTTGCTAGGTAGGTACTCTACCATTTGGGCCATGCCACCAGCCATTTTTGCTCACATGCTTGCAGGCAAGACAGACAAAATATTAACAGTAAAGGAAACATGTGACACGTTTGCAATGTTTGGCAGGCTGTAGAGTAAGGGTGGTGGCCCTCCATGGGGGAGCAGAGACCTCAAGACCAGAAAGGGTACCGTGAGCTTCAGGGATGACTGGCACAGTTCATCACAGAAAGAGGCAGGATGCACCAAAATGCCATACCAGGTACCTCACACTTAATTTTATCCTATTTTTCCATTTTTATTCGCATATATCAGTGGCACAAAGGGGTCTCACTGTGATATTTCCATATATGCATATGGTGTACCCCAATAAAATTCACCCCCTGCATTGTTCCACCTCCTCCCCCTTCTTAAAACAATTTAAGCAGATCTCCTTGGGGTGTGTTAGGTACTTGGACCATGTTTTTACCCCCTTCCCACACCCTCTTCTTTCACCTCCCACTTCCTGCTGGTACCCACCCCCAAGCAGAACCCGATGTACAGTCCTTTTTTAAAAAGGATTTTTATTCTGGTCAAATACAGCCTAAAATTTACCACCTTAGCCATTTCTTAGTGTACAGTTCAGCTGTGTCAGGTACTCACTCTGTTGTACACCCATCCCCCCACCTCCCAGAGCAGGTGCTCTTACCACTTAAGCCACTCCATCAACCCAAGAATTTCCTTTTCAAGACTGAATAATATTCCCTTCTATATATCTCCCACATTTTGTTAGTCATTTATGAGTGGACACGTGGATTGCTACTGCCTTTGGCTGTTGTGAGTGACATTGCCATGGGTGAATAAATGTCTCTTCAAGACTCTGCTTTAAATTTGGGGAGTATATACCCAGAAGTGGAATTTCTAGATCATACAGTAATTCTGATTCCATCTTACCTTCCTACCAACAGTGCACAAGTGTTCCTGGTCTCTCCCCCATCTTCTCTATGCCTCTTTCCTGGTTCTGCATAGCAGTGTGTTGTTCGTGGGAGGTAACATCTCATTGGGGTTTTGATTTATGTCCCTCTCACGACTGGTGATACTGAGTGTCTTTTTGTATGCTGTTGGCCATTTGTGTTTCATCTTTGGAGAGAAGTTTATTCACATCCTTTATCCAGTTTTGAATTGGGTTTTGTCATTGTAGTTACCGTTGAGTAGACTTTATCTTATAACTAATGATGAGCTAAAAGACTTTAAAGCAGGCAGTAGCACTGTTAGATCCAGACCGTAGAAGGATAGGTGTGGCCACAGGAAAGATGGATTGGAAGAAGCTCAAACAAGGCCCTAAGGAGTTGGTCATGTGATTGTTCCGTGGTGCTGATAAACTGAATAATTAATTACTATCTGCTTACTCCTGAAAACTGCAGTCCCAGTATTTGGAGGTATGTGCTTCTTCCAAGAAAGCAAGCCTTTTCCTGGGACCTCATGGTCACACCCTCCCTCACAGTCAGCCTTCCTTCTCTTTGGGGACCTGGCTTATAGCTCTATGGCTGTTCCAAATTCTGAGTCACTGCTCCCCAGAGAAAGGCACTGTCACCACTGTGGGATTAAAATGCATCCTCAGTAGGTTAGTTTTTGAGTAGTGGAGATTCCCAATCCTCCCCAACCAAGTTCATGGGCTGACCCTTGTCAGCTGCCTTTTAATGGGTTTTTTTAGCAGCTGACTGAGCTCTGAAATGCATCATTTTGGCAGTAAAACAACCAAGACCTCACTTGTTACTTCCTTTGGAAATAACAAATGACAAATCTTTTTCCTTTTATTTGAAAAAGCAATGGAGCTTGGAGTTAGCAAACCTGGACTTGACTTTGGGATTAAGCACCTCATCCTCAGAAACCTGGCTTCTGTTTCTGTAAAATCCAGTGAACAGCACCTGTGGTTTGTACAGATTGCCTCATTCCACATTCACCATGTTCTCCTCATCTATCTTCCTGACCCGAGAGATGGGAAAGCAAACAGTGACAGTCCCCAGGAGCCCCTGAAGCTTGGGCTCTGAGTATGACTTCATATCTGCCCCTTAATGCCGCTGTACAGCACCAGAACCCAGAGCTGAGTTAGGTGGGGGAGAGGAGGCCTGCCTAGGAGCTGCGTGGAGATGGAAGTGGCTCTGCAGGCAGCAGATCCAAATACAGCTTTCGAGTCTGCACATTGCAGCTAAAATGGTCTGGCTGTGGAACCACCAGCTGCTTCCTGCTTCCGCGGCTTATGCAAAGTGCCAGCTCCTTGGTGAGTCCATTCTTCAGCATCCACACGGGGGTTACTCCAGAGGTGTGCTCTGTGACAGCTCCTCCAGCCAGCCAATGGTCTGTAAGCACTGATCCCTTTTGCTGCAGAATTCACAGATGCTGACAGAATTGGGGGCCTTCCTGCTTTACCTATCTAACAGTGGCTCCTGTGACCTGCAATCCAACCCAGATTGGTTTAGAAATACAATGTAGTCAGCAGACACACTGGCTCCTGGAAGGTGCTCCACAAACACTGATGGGCTGATCTTCAGCTCGTGGAGGAGGCACCTCCAGGCTGGGACCTCTGGGCTGTGCCAGACATTCTCCCTCAGCTCTGTGAAGTCCTCCCATCTGCTCATTGATCTCTGTAAGGTTTTCAAAAAAGAAGAAGACTTTCCCATTAGACAGAAGGCTCAAACTTAAATGACCCTGCTTTCATTATACTGGCTTGAGTTGAATTGGGGTGTAAGGGGTTTGATATGAGAGGAAAAGGAATGAGAGAGCTGGTGAGTTTGGACCCCAATTTATAAGAGGGATAGAAATGGAACACAGGAAGGGGAAGCCAGGCAAGGACTAGGGCTGGGAATGCCCTGCATCCCAAAAATCTGTACCCTAGAAGCACTTGAAATGGGGACGTTCCACAGTCCATACAGTGCATGACATCTGGCCCGATTTCTAAGGCCCCTGGGAGCAGCCAGAATTTGGCTAGCATGACTGAAATGACAGGGGAAGGGGGGTCAATGACTTGAAGAGAGGTGGGAGAAACAGGCAGGAGGCAGAGGACGCAGGGCCACATGACCACAGTAAAGGCTTTTGTCTAGGCCAGCAGTTGGCAAACTTTTTCTGCAAAGGGCCAGATGACAAATATTTTCAGCTTGGCAGGCCAGACAGTCTCTGTCGCAACTGCTCCGTTCTGCTGTTGCAGTGCAAAACTAGCCAGCAGTGGCAAGTAAATGAATGACCATAGCCTTGTTCCACTAAACTTTACTTCAGGCACAGGCTGGATTTGGCCCATGGGCCACACTGGGCCAATGCCTGAGCTAATCTCAAGATACTGACAGGGCTCTAAAAGGTTTTTGGGAAGGCTACCAATCATATTTGTGTTTGTAAAAGAGCCCTCTGACTCCAGGGGGGACCTGGGTTGGAGGGAACAGGGGATTTGAGCAGGCTGAGGAGGCGATGGTGGCTTAGGTGAGGATGCTGCCGGGAGAGGTCAAGAGAAGTAGATTGGGCAGATATGTGGAAGTAAAAATGCTAGAACTTGGGCTGGGGTTGTAGCTCAGTGGTAGAGTTCTTGCCTTGTGGGTACAAGTCCCTCGGTTCAATCTCCAGTACCGCACACACAAGAAAAGTGCTGGAACTTGGTGCTTGGTCAGCTGTAAGGATTCCCCAGGACTCTGGCTTATAGAAGACTCTGAGGGTCAGGTTGCTCTCCCTTCTTTTTTGTTCCCTCTGATGGTTTGTTTAAGTGAAACTTTTCCCAAGCCATCCTCCATGGAGACATTTCTCTCCCAAGCATGGGCTCCCAATCCTTGTCCAGTTATGAACACTCCAGACCAGAATCATCTCCAGCTCCTTTCTCCTGAGAGTCCACAGGCCCATCTAGCAAACCACGTGATTTGTTGACTGTGCTAGCCAACACGAGTTCTTACTTCCCAGATCTACTCAGTTTATGATTTCAGATAGTGAGACTTTCAGCACACCTGGTCAAGTAGCAAGGGATGTTCAAAGCATTTGTCTGAGGGGCTGTAGTTCCCGAGTTTAGGATAGAGAGTGTTCCCTTAGCAGGCAGCACCCTGAGTTTCATCTCCATCTGCTGTGCCCTGGCCTACCCAGGCCCTCTTCA